TTCAGTCGAAATTTTCGCATGTTCACCGCCCTCCACTTGGCCTCCAGTTTCCTTGACAAGCTTTAGCTGATGCAAAACATGACTTTAGGCACTTGGCTCACCACATACAACACATAACACCTCTGACAGGTGTTTACAACACTTGTATCCTCAAAGCTTAGGAGTTGATAGGAGGAGAGGACCTCTCACAGGGTAGTACGATAAACTCAAGTTGTAAAGCGGCCAATTTGCAACACCTTCAATGCGGATGAAAATGAAGAGAATGCAACAGAAATCCCCACCCCGAACTCGCGATTGGCAACGATAACGAGGATTACCAAAACAAAATTACAACCACCATTACGGCAATCAAAGAACAACCAAAGTGTCACTACGTTTGGTGTTAAAAGAGTGTTTGAGGACAATGCATCGTGTGCCACGCTAAACGAAACATTTTACCAACTTTTCTTCCTTGCGTGTCCTCTTACAATTGAGCAAAAGAGTGTAAGCTGTCTACTTATTCATGTCATTAAGTATTATCACTTTTTAGCAGTGGTACCGCAGGATTTACACCTCTGTGGATTGCATTTTCGGCCAATGACACATCCAATGGCTTCAAGACCTCCCCCAAGCTAACACTGGCTCCTTTAACAACCTCAGGCAAGTCTCAAGTCACTGCAACACGACATCACTGTAAATATTTTTTAAATTGCCAACTCACATGGGAAGACCTTGGTCCATAAACCACTCGTTGACTTTTTCCATATCCCAAAGACTGATTTCGTTGGTTTGATGGGTCGTCATTGCTTTCGACTAAAAGCGTTTGAACAAGCAACTTACGCAAAAGCCCTCTTATGCTATCTCATGTCAATATGGCAGTCCCTTTTTTTAAACTTTAGGCAAAACGATGCGACAAAAAATTAATTCTTTCACAGTGTAATGAATGATGACTTTAAAGAAGGCGCTTGTTTCATAGCTAAGCAAGAAGCACATGTTGCGAAAAGAAACCCACTTTTATCTCAGCCTTCTCTCCTCTGACAGACATTTTGATGTTGGCAAGACGTTGCAGAAGTTCACCAGAGGCATCTTCAAAGGCAAACTTTCCAGCGAAGTCTATGTACGGCTGTCTGGCTGTTAGCACACCTAGCCACCCGCCTGGTTGGTAGCCCTGCTCCACTCGACAAAAGATCATCGGCTTATCCAACTTCTGTGCATACTGAGCCTCTGTCAATGACAATCAAGAGCAACTGGATCGGTGCATTGATAGGCTTTGAAGATGGGTATTAGGATTTCCCACTCTTGTGAGTGTTTAAAAAAGATCCTATTCTAAGATAGCTGATAATGTAGTAAGGTTGGAAGATTTACCAAGCGACAAGTGAAAGAATATAAAGCTATATTAAGCACACATGATGTATCAGTGGAACTGAATAAAATCTCGGTCCACTCTACTCGGTATCTAAGTGTCTGCTCTGCATGTGTCTCCACAGTAGAGATGCTGCCACTGGAAGAGAGAAGTGAGACTGAGCTCTTAAACCTAAATGGAGAAAGTCAAGTTCTCTTGCTTTCGTCGTTTAAAAACGGATAACTGCCGACATTACAAGGTGGGTACCACCTTATGCCAAAGAGTATAGGAAGTCGGATACAGAAAACTGGAAGAGTGATTTACCCTATTTTATTTTGGACAGATTATTACTGCCTTTTCCGACCCTGATATCGTAGCATTCGCACAAAAGGCTTGTATTTTATGAGAACTGAAGCACGGCTAGACTGAGCAGCAAATGTAAGGATAAAACATTGATCGTAAATAAGAGCAAGACCTTTATTGCATATCAAATGGTCATTTCTCTAAGCTTATGGTGGCAGCAATATACTTGACGCACACTACTACCGGACATTAACAAAAACATTCGCTCAATTGAATGGGATTTGCCTAGATTGAGACGATATGAAAGGAACCTGCACTAGCCAAGGCTCTGTCATATAATTGAAATCAGTAGATGTGCTTTTACTAACCCAATCTTGTGTTCGGGCAGCGTTTGTAGGCTTCTGAATAAAGAACACACACGGCAAACGCTCGTTCCACAGCAATTGCCATCGCGTCCATTATGTCATTTTCAGTGGGCATATGCTGTGTGTCAAGCCAAATCTACATTTGTGCCACGCAAAAAGACGTTATGCATGCAAAACTTATCGGTGCAAAATCAAAAACAATAGAAAAAGGTATCCCAATGGAGTCCCATTTCTTCGTTATGATAAGTGATTTTACAAGTGATATTTATCTACTTATTAAATACAAGTAGAATGTCAACACTATATAAACGACTTATCCTACGGACGAGGGTCCGCATGCAACATCAGCTGCATAAGCTACAACTGCCAACTTACTCGGTATCCAGACTGGCTTATTGTACGTGCAATTTTGTGTGCAATATTCTTCTGCATGTAGCTATAGCTCAGCATTACATGCAATCGCTCCTTCTCATCCGCTTTGCTAACCTCCGGTCGTCCGTGCAATTCGTCTAATAGAAAGAAAGCCAAAATATTTACGACTTGAAGGTAGACTACAATGGATGTTGTTAAAAGCTGTTAATAGAAATTGTATGGTTCCCCTTCAATTGATGGTGGCATGTAATTAAGATATCAAAGCTTATCAGAAGTAAATTGAATAAATCGAGTTAATAATGCTGAGCTGCAGTCATCTTTTGTCAAGCACCAATTAAGAAAACATTAAGTTATGAATACAAAATGTGACTCTGAATTCCTTTTCCTGAAAAGTGCAACATAAGAGTCTAACACCGACCATCTACATGAATCTCCCATTGGAGTCGTCGGAAGACACTTTGCATCCAAAGTGCCGTTTTAATCCTCCTATCTACCGGAGAGATAGCCTTCACCTCGGGCAGTAAAGTTCCCCTCTCTAAGATCCAGCTTTTGAAGCTTCTGTAATCTTCCACCATATCCTCGACCGCGCCCCGCCGTCCTTCAGCACTGATGGACACGGGCATTTGGCTTTGCAAAGTGCTCAACTGCATGTTGATATCGTCGAGTAGGGCGGAGCGGATTTGAGCCCGTGCCATAGCTGCAGTCGACTCGTGGAGGGCGAGGGAGAGGAGAGCTAGAGCAGCGGCACACTTTTCTCTTGACGTCCCCTTGGAAAGGACACTTTCCAGAGCTTGGATACCACCACATTGTAGTATGCGACTGGTGGAAGTATCATTTTTTGCCATTTCTCGCAACGCTTAACGAAGATTTTGGACGATGTCACTACGCTTGTCTGCAATCCCAGACACTAGTTAATCTGGTTTTACAATTATTGCTAAAGTATCCTAGACATTCTATGGTGTGGAGTTTTACACTCTGGACAATGGGTAATGCACAACTACTGAGAATTTCCACGCAACTATAATGCCTCATCGCATACTCGTGGAAGGCCTGTACCACATTAGAGAGTCAGTCCCAAGGTCGTCAGTCAGTCCGACCTGACAGATATCTGGCGTTAAGACCGGGCTAGAATAAATTTCCTAACTAAGTAAACATCAAGGAGGCGTATGATTTGTACAAATGAGGAGCTTACTAGTACGGTGGTTATTCTCAAAGAGATTTTAGCGGTAGGCAAAACTTTGGATTGACGTCTAAATCATACCATGGATGACAGGAGATAAAACAGGCAGTAATAGGGTGATCAAGGGAGGCAGGACTCTTTTGATGTTCATAGCATGCATAAAACCCCAATAAGCAAACCAAGAAAGGCCGCAATATTATTGCAAATCTTGCGAGGTTGCATTTACCCAAACAGAGTTCAGAGGTTTCAAAAGACCTCCGTGGTCCTTTTTGGTGTCTAATGTTACTCATAATGCTGTTGACAACAAAATGAATTGTTTCATCCTTCATACAACGACTGAATTGTTCATCCGTCACCAAGTATGTAAGAATAAGACTGGAGATAGACTAAAATGTTAAAGCATACGGGATAACTACGCACAATTTCATGAAGGCAGTTCCAACAGTGAAAGCCACACCTAAACAGAGCATTAATTTGAGAGAAAATAACTAGAAAAAATCTGACAACCAAGGTGGGCCGGCAAAAATTGTACACGATTTGAAAAAGGAATAAAACTAGACCTTTATGTCAGGAATAGAGCTCTCATAGTACTGCAAAATGAGCGCAGTGTATCCTTCAGCAGCGAATGTAGCTCGGGCTTCCTCTCCGCAATATTTGAGTAGATTGTATACACTGCACAAGCTACATTTTAAAAAATGAAGTGTCGACTGAAATGTCGTTTACCAGCTGAAGTGGTTTTACCTGATTTGTAGTTAACTGAGAGTGGACTGGTGCCAACTGATCCAATATTAACTTGACACAGTGAAGATAACGTCTGTTTTTTAAGAGTTCAGCCGCAAATGTAGAAGAAATGTCTGAGTAGTTTAAAATGGCTCCCTGTAAAAACGCAGCTGATTTATATGCAGGGAGGATTGCAATCGGCTCCTTGAAGTTAGGGGAGATTCGAATAACCTCATGGAGCAGAATTGATAATGTGTTCCCTAGATTCTGAACAGTAGTTGGCTGTGACAGCAATTTATCTCCAACAACTCTTCTGAAAGACGTCGAAAGTGGTTCCTTTTTAAATATGTACAATGTATCAAGGATTCGTTTTGCAATGCTAATGAACTTGTCGCTCAACATGTATTTGGGATCTTTGAGTGTCAAGTCGTTTAATGCGTTCTCAGCAAGAGGAAAGTTTGCCTCAATTTTGTCCATTTGCGCATTAACTTATAGAAAAAATTTAAAAGCAATGCCTGTAGAATAATTATCTTGTTGGAGAGCTTAAACAAAGGAAATGAAGTTGACACGGATGACAAAAATGTAAAAGTATAAGTTTGATGTAAACGCTTCGCCCTTGTTAGTTTTTTTGAATAAAAACAAATGTGATTAAGGTAGTTTCTTCTTATAAATCATTCATAAAAAACCCTATGGCGTTTAACTCTACTCATTCGGCAATCTAATACTGCAGCGTCTCTATACTTTACTCCTAGTATATCTAGGGGAAGCTTAATGCATGTATTCTGGGGAGAGAAGAAGATCAAGTCTGAGCTCGGCGCGAGAGCTAGCCCACGCGCAAAGTGGCAAGATGAACGACAAAGTAACTGTAAGATTCAATGTGGTCCCAAAGACAAAGTATTACAAATATTTTTTAGTTGGTTCACTGTATTTGTTAACACCTTGTCCAAGGGACACGTTTACGTCCTTCCCGTATGACGTAGAAATCAGATTTCTCTCTAAAATATATCCACTATGAAGCTCGTTGTTCAAGGCGAAATTTATTATTAATATTATTACAACACTAAATTCGCTGTCAGCACAAATAGCTGGAACCAAATCCAGTATTTAAACAGTCGAATTTATGTATAGTCTCTCTTCTTTTGAGTGTCGTATAAGGGTCCCCCTTGTCAGCCACTAAAAGGTAATTGGTGCAGAAGGAAAATGCCCACTAACCAAATATGTTACAGGCATTAAACTTCTGCGGAATTAAGGAGGCAATCGCTTATCCCTTTTGTTAATTTAAAGCCATTCCGAGCTGCATTCCGTATCAGAACTAGCTTTGAAAATACAAATCAAATCGCTGATACGAGAGTAAGAATGTGTCCCTTATTTTCTAAAAAAAATTGAGTAATCCAAGACTCCACATTGTCGAAATCGTTACGCTTAAGAATTGTGGAAACTTTGAACCACAACTTACTTAAATGATTAACAGGTAGTGTGGGTGTTAATAACAATATATTTAGGTGGAAT